AATCGCAATATTGGGGCAAAAAATCGCAATTAGATTATTTTCCATAATCGTTCAGCCCTAATAAGAACACTGTAGTCATAAAAGAATGGACATAGTCAGCAGGAATACTCATGTAGATGATGGTCATGATGGTCATTTGATGTTGAGATACAAGATAAGATCCCTCACACCATTATACCACCTGAACTGGATCCATGCTTTCTTGTTGTTTACGTGAAATTCTGACCCTACAATCTAAATTTTGCAGCAATTTTAGCCTCAGTTTCCTGTTCTCAGCTGATGGGAGTGATACCCAGTGTGGTTTTTCTGAAATTCTCAGACGAGCCTGTCTGGCGCCAACAACTGTGCCACATTTAAATCAGTTTTCTGGCAATTAACTGCGTGTGTACATCAATATCAATATATTTACTAAAAACTGGAAGTAGATGATAAATTGCTTCCATTATTTTATTTTTTAATGGAATAGACACAGTATGAGCATGACTACAGTTCGTCTTCAGTGTTAGTGCTGTTTTAAAGCTGTTTTTGACGGTGTCTGACATTTTTACGATATCGTAGTTACTTAGGTTACTGACAGATAATTTCATCAAGCATGCCATGCTTTCTAAATAGTTAATTTCATATTCAAATAAATAAAATATTTTTGCACACTTCCAAGCCTGATTTTCTTTGGGTGTAAACCTTACAAGCTTACATAACCTTTCATTCTGCACTGAATTCCTATATTTTATTAAAATCGAGTCTCAACACTCCTGAAAAATAAATATTCATCCACCGTTCGGTAGAAACTGAATCTAAAGCAGTTTTTTAAAATATGTGGACCTGAGGGTTCTTAAACGTTTTTTTTTCTTTTTCATTCGAGCCCTCTGTTTCTTTTAACAGCCACTCTTTCCCTGAACCCTCTGCACATTTCATGCAGCACATGCCCACAAAATACAGGGTTGCCATGGAAACAGACAATTGCCTTTTAAACAGATTGAGATGTGACGGTCTGTGCGACCAGTTCTTGTGGCCTTGCAGCACTTTTCAGCAGACCTTAAGGTTGGCTGAATGCCTCCGTGTTTCATCCACATTTCTTTACCTTGGAGCAACAAATATCTGTCTCCATTACAAAAGACCCAGATAAACTAATTAACTCCTGCCTGGACGGGGGCTGCTACACATCAACAACAAATGAAACATGAATTTTAAGACACTGAATGATACTGAGGGGATTGTGGGAGTTTTTTTTTTTTTTTTTTATGATAAATTATTGAGTCGCTTAAAGTAAAATGGTTTGGTTGTTTGTTTTTTCTTTTTCTTTTTTTAAATTCTGTCTCACATTTTTTTTTTCCCGTATCCCAGACTAACTGCTCATGGGGCCTGTGGTAGAAAGGAAGGGTTGCCTGGAAACACAACAGCATCAGTGTTTTCCGCTGTCAAGCATCTCAAAGAGTTTTAAACCCAAATATGAGTGGGTTGACTAATTGGTGCCTCTTAGACCTTTGCATAATACTCTTTGCATCAGTGGAAACTGTCATGCAGCAAAAGAACTGTGATATTAATTGTGTCTGTGTGTGGAATTTCAATCGAGGGGGCAGTTTAATGAGTCCACACACAAAAAACTAAAAAACTGATTTAAATGAGGTTGATCTTTCCTTCAGTGTTGTCCGCTTGTGCACCTTGACAACACTTCCAGGACTCTGTGGCTTGTTCTGACCTCTTTCTTGCACATGGACCATTTCAACAGAGTCAATTGCAAACCTCTAATTAAGTGACAAACTAACCTGAAGTGATAATAGCTGCGCTTGGTTCTGTAGGCAAATATGCAGTGTCCAAGAGGATGGTGACTTAGGGCTGGAACATAAACATTGGCTTGTTGTTTTTCCTGCACTTCAATTTTCTATTCAGTTTCATTTTTATGGCATCAGTTCAGGAAGCGCTTTATCCTAGAAGGCACAAATATTCTATGCTATTAGAGAAAAGTCCCCTATGAGCAGCACTTGGCAATAATGAGAAAGGGAGATCCATTTCAACAGGAAGAGACGTGCAGCAGAATCAGGCTTGGGGAGGGGCAGGGCCATCTGCTGCAACAGGTTTGGGGCTGAGGGGAAAGATGAGACAGAAAAGAAGAAGCATAGAGTTATTGTGAACGGGCCCCCCAGGGTCAGTGAAGGCTTCTGTTGTAATATCCTGAGGCTTCTGAGGGAAAACATTTAATGCCAGATGTTAAAAATGCCAAACACCAGGTTGCCAGTGTGTCCCTACTCACACTGAATTGAAATTGCAGGCATTTCAGGTAAAACAATGCAATCTTCAATTTCCAGATTTGGGTCCATGAGACTTGGTTCTCTTTCCCAATAAGAAATTCAGTTTGCAGGTTCGAAATGACACAGTGGAGGCGATCCCTCACACATCACAGGTGTGCACAAGTATTCAGAACAGGACTTCACCAACGATCTTACACTACTAATACATTACTTTGGCATTAATTCACAGCATGGCCTTAGATGCACAGTAACAAAATTACTTGTTAACAATAAAAACTTTATGGCACAGATCCCTTTCCTGATTTTTTTTCTTCGTTTTTTCCTTTTAGTGTTTAAAAGTATTATACAGAAAAATGTTAGAGCCGCAGTGATTCCGCTGTAGAAGCATGTATGGGTAGAAACGAGGTTAGATTGAAACAAGCCTGACTGCTCATCACTGCTTTGAAAATCAAGCTCCGGTTACTCAGCTGGGTCTGACATACTCTCAGCTTTAATCTCACTCTGGCTGAGGAGGCTCGTGTTAGCATGTCGTTCCCACAGATGCCTGCAGAGAGTCGATGGTAGGAGCTGCTGTTCCTGTGTTGGCTGTAATTTCCTCTTTACTGTCACGTTCTAATCTTTTCATAAAATAAAAATGAAAGTCATTTTCATGTCTCTGAAAAGTTGAAGACCGCTCTGTTCCTCACAAAATGAAGAGTGCACGTTACCCTAAACACAGCTGAGGTGTTGTTCAAGTTCTTCTTCTGCTCTGCCCTAGTACAGTTTGAATTTATGACCCAGGAATGAACCCACGAAGAGATTGTAATAATGGCGCTCATTAAACTGCAGGAGTGAGAAAAGGGCTCTAACAGAAGTACCCCAGCCCCATGCTTGAATGCAGAGTGCATACAGAAATAGGCGATATGGCAGACACTCATTCTAATGCTGAACATTTTGGGATTCTAAACAAAGTAATAAAGTTTCAGGAATTGCAGTAACTAATGTAACTGTTTTTCATGTCAGGACAACATTTGCAAGAATTAAAATGATTAAAAAAAAGTGAAGTGAATGGTTGTGATTGAAATCGTTTGTTTTATGTGGCTAATGTGTTGGTTTTATTCATTTTTTGTGTTGCAGCCAGAGAGTGAAGTTTCCACCACTGCAGAGGATTATTCCTCAGAGGTGAGACTTTTTGTAATATAAATCCTCACTTTTTCACAGAAATGCCACACCTGTAGCATGTATGTAGGATCACTTGTGTTTTAATTAACTCCCTTAGCTACAGTTCCACATTTTGTCATTTTATTTGATCATTTTCTTTGAGTCTCTTGGATATTATTTGGGTTTCCAGTGAAAATGGAAACTGTAAATCATAAGACAGAGTGCGATGTTCTCTTTGTTCCTCTTAGCCACTTAATAGTTCAGGAAATATTCTTTGTGGATAAATCGCTTCTCCTCTCATACTGTGTCCTTGCCAGCTGCTGCACACTTTCTTGGACAATAACCGAAACCTGTATTTTTTTTTTTTTTGTTGTTGTTGCTTAATAACACTACATTTTAAATCATTAACAGCCTCTGTTGACTGAGTCTGTAAGATGATTTTATGTTTGACTAGATGGAGAAAAAAAAGCAAATTAGGGTATAATTCAAATGTGACTTTAGTTAATGCTTTTAAATAAACGCTTTAGGCTATTTTGGAGAGATTAAACTCTAAAATTATGAGCTCTTCTGTTGCATTTCCCTGATCTTAATGTTTGACGGATAGCCTTGTGAATTAACAGGTAAATGGATGCCTTGATGAGATCACAGAGCACCAAATGATGTCTTCAAAGGATTTTATCTGGGTACAGTAATCTGATCGAGCAGTTCTTTCAGCTCTGCTTTGGCCTTGCTAACACTCGCTGCTGGACCTGACTCTGTTTGCTAAATATTTTAATCTCCTGTAATATTTCCTATAACCCACTAACCACACTTGTTATGTGCTGTACCTGTATGTATGTGAAGTATTTGAAAAGGGAGATGTGGGAAAAGAAAAAGAAATTGTTACTGTTATAAATGACAAATTTGAAAGCCCAAAAGATTCACATGTTTCCGACTGAACAGAGGTTTGTGACATAGCTTAGGCGTGAATTCTTTGAAGTTGAGATACGGTGGAAGATTAGAGCACAGAAGGTGTTACACAAAGAGCCGTTTTCTTTTAAGTCACCGAGGTGATGTTCGAACTGAGACAGAAACCGGAGAGCTGCTGATCAATACAGCTGAGACAGTGAAACAGCAAAACCAGAAATGTGGTTTCAAGTGCAAAAAGACTTACAGGAGAATACTGAGGACAAACGAAAGACCAAATCAAAGACAAACTATGGGATTAAATGTTGACAGAAGTCTTTTTTTTTTCTTCTTTGCTACAACCCTTTTTCATAAAATAGAATCATTAAAGAAAAATCCAATCTTCTTCCCGAATAGAAAACCTTCAACTAAACTTAATAAGAGTATCTTTTGTGTATTCACTGATGAAAGAAAAGATTGGAAAACTTTTTCTTTCAGCAAAAAAAAAAAAGTTTAATTGCAGTGACGTGATCTGTCCCTCTTGTGATTGTTAATAAATCTGAAGAGTTTGACGACTGAGGTTTGTTATCCAGCCTTTTGAAATATGGCAGACAAAGAAATTGAAGGAGGGGAGGAAAAAAATCAGATTTAGATCAAAGCATTTAGCTATCACAGTTATTGTGGGATGAACCTTCTCCATACCAGAAGATTGCATTTGGGAGTGGGAAAGAGGAAGACCACAGATTCATGGATGTAGTGAAGAACGTGTTGAGGGTCCGTGTGATAGAGGGGGATAGTAGGGATGGGGTGAGATGGAGACAGATGATCTGGTTACATGCAAGCCTTTTTCTGCTGTTCATCGATGAAAGTAATAATAATCGATAATGGTTACATTGAAGCCTTTTTTAATTATTATTATTTGCCTTTATTAGTACAGTGAAGTGGAGAGACGGAGTGGGAGGGGGGGCACACAGCAGAAGGTTGCAGGTCAAAATTGAACCCAAGCTGCTAAGTTTAGCATCGAGCAAGATGCTCACCTGCTCAACCTGTGAGCTGAACCGGCGCTCAGTTCTCATTCTTTTAACACAGAAAGTAGATCAGTAATTGGTCAGTAAGGGAGCTCATGGAAAAATGAACCTTATAGGCAGAATCGTAAAAACATGGGTCTCAGCAGAAACTTATAAATATTCATACCCGCCTCATTAAAGGCCTCATTAACTCCTAATCTAATTCGAATTCTGAGCCTTTCTACGATTCAGTAAAACGTATCATTTACAGTAAGTTTCAAGGCTGTGTCGTTTTGAATAACAACGCTTTGAAACCTCAATAGGTAATAAATATGCATTATATTTTGTGCATTTGCTTTCATGTTGCTTATCTCATCTAACTTGAAAGCTGTTGCTATTTGGTGGCGACTAACTGCTAAGCTTGTTCTAAAACCTTATCGTCTATCCCTGTGAATGCCATATTGGTTCTTCATGGTATTTTCCTGCTCAGGAGGAGGTGGAGTCCCTGCAACAGGTGACAAAAGGTGGTACGAGGCAGGATTTGGAGGATGCGCTAGAGGCCAAGACGCGGGCAGTGGAGGAGCTGAGTCGAGAGCTTGACGAAATCAGGTCTGCGTTTGGTGCAGAAGGCATGCAGCAGGTAAGGATTTTTAGCAACAACGCTGTTCTTCTGCTGCTTCTTCTCCTCCCTGCTTCCTTTAGGGGTCGCCACAGTGGATGGTCTGCCTCCATCTCACCTGATCCCCAGCATCCTTTTCTGTCACACCAACCCTCTGCATGCCCTCCTTCACTACATCCATGAATCTCCACTGTCGTCTTCCTCTTTCCCTCATCACACAGGGTTTATGTGTTCTCTTTCTCTTCCACTGTCCAATAGCCGGTGTATTGAGAGAATGCGTAGAAAGGGGATGATGCTTTTTAGTAAGTTAAACTAAAAACTAATCAAAATGATTCTTAGGCTTGTTTGTTATTATGTAAGAAGATTAGATTCACTTGTTTGAAAGTCTTGACATTGTCTCCTGTAATTTATTGATTATCCCAGGATGGCAGACATATGTGCACATAGTGTGTGCTACTACTCGATTTCATCAGCATCCATCTGTATCCCTGAGTGATCGTTTAGTCTTCCAAGGCTTTAGGTCATAACAAAGTACAGTGGCTCCACCAATTAAACTCAGAAGCCAATTTTGAGGTCCATACTCAAATCCCAAGTGATCAGAAGGGAAACTTTTGTAATAATGGAAATTTCATAAGGTGCACAAAGTGATGAAATTGGGGAGGAATTTCTTTTCTTTTTTTAATTTAAGCCCTTTTGAAATTTTTCCATTCATTTTTAATTGATAGAGTCAGAACGTTATAATCACACCTGACATTTAAACAGTTTCACAATGAGTTTAAAGTTATCAAGATGGGGAATATTTTTATTCCTGACCTTTACCTCCTTGGCAGTGCTATAGTTCAACCTTGTATGTGCACGTTTCCTTTTATTGCTTCAAACACCAGCTCATTCATCTCTTTTTTCCAGTCATATATATGAGTATTAACTGGTTAAGCTGTGTAAATTGACGATTTCACTTAATTCCATTTTAAATTTATAGCTGCAGGAGTTTGAAGCAGCACTGAAGCAGCGAGATGGCATCATCACCCAGCTCACATCCAACCTGCAGCAGGCCCGTAAAGAGAAAGACGAGATCATGAAAGAGTTTTTGGAGCTGACCGAGCAAAGCCAAAAACTACAAATTCAGTTCCAGCAGGTAAAAATACTTTCATATTTATCAACCGAACTGTTTATCTGTTCTGTACTTCTTACGCTTTTAATATGATACTTTTGTTTGTAATTTAAAGTCTAATAAGCAATACATATTTGTGATAAGGTGGTCTTATAACCTTTAAAAACTGGACCTGTGTTTTTCCCCTTTATTTTTTGTACCGTCTTATCTGACTGGTCATCACAGCTGCAGGCAGGTGAATCACTGAGGAATACGAGCCACAGCAGCACCGCGGCTGATCTTCTACAGGCCCGGCAGCAGCTTGTTCAGCACCAACAGCAGCTGGACGAGATGAATGTTGAGGTCAGAAAACTCCAGGAAGAGATCAGTGAGATGGAGTCGGTAAGAAGTTGCCTTGTCTGTTACGCTACATGTTAATATTTTTGTGTTTTAATTAAATTGGTTGCACAGTGTGTTTTTTAAATGTAGCCCAAGCATTTCTAAGATGTAATTGTCTTCGTAGTCAGGGAGAAGAGCTGAAGAATCATTTGTCCAAAGGATAAATGAAAAGGACTTGCTGATTGCTCAACAAGAAAACCTTATTTCGAGTCAGGAGCAGTCACTGACAGAGTTGAGAGCAGCAGAGGGGTCTTTTGCACAAACACTGAGGGAGAAAAATCAGTTAATTTCAGAGCAAACTGCAATAATCACAGAACATGAGCGGTCACTGACTCTGCTCAGAGATGAACTTGCTCATGTGGGAAGGACTACAGATGAGAATATTATACCGCAGTCAGATGAGAAAGATCTCATTATAGCAGAGAAGGAGAGAGTCATTTTAGAACGTGACTGTTCTGTTACGCAGCTCGAAGATGAGCTGGAGACCTCAGAGAAACATCTGCGCGAGCTCCAACAGCGAATGGCTGTAAAGGAATCGGAGCTGGAAAAATGTCTGGATGAGTTGGAAAGCACAAGGTCTGACTTGGAGAGTTATAAAAATGAAGTAGAGAGTTGTAAATTACAACTGGAGACGGAGCAAAAGGAGTTGGAAATTTGTAAGAGTGAACTTGTGACCTCCAGACAGAAAGAGCGAATGTCATCTAATGAAATCATGCAGCTCATGGGCACAGTCGAAGATCTGCAGAAGCGTTGTCACCGGGGCAGCATGTCTGAGAGTGACACCGTTCAAAAAATGCAGGGAGAGACCGAGAGGAAGCTGGAGCTTCTCAGGGCGGAGCTGGACGAGATGTACGGCCAGCAAATTGTCCAGATGAAGCAGGAGCTTAATTTGCAGCATGCAGCGAGAGTGCAGCAAATGACTGAGCAACACCACGCAGAGCTCGAGCTTCTAAAAGCGCAACAACTGTCCCAAACTCCCACTGGCAGTGCTGCTGAGGTGGGTGCACTTAACACTAAGATTAGGGAGCTCCAAGAAACTTTAGAGCAGTTTCAATCTATGCACAAAAAAGCCAGACATGAGCTTAGCGAAGTAGCCAGAGAGAAGGTCAGCCTGCAGGCCAGGGTGGATGGTCTTCTTCAAGAGCTGCATTTAGCTAACGACAAAGTGGAGCAGGTATCCCACAGTCTTCTCTCTCAGGAAAGCCAACAAGTTGAGCTGCAGCAGCTCCAAGAGACCATTGACAATCTGAGGAGTGAGCTGTCTGCTGCTCAGGAAGCCGCACAAGAAGCTGAAACTAAACATGAATCTGAAATAACCAATTACAAGATTAAGCTGGAGATGATGGAGAGGGAAAAGGATGCTGTGCTGGACCGCATGGCAGAGTCACAGGAAGCAGAGCTGGAACGACTGAGGACCCAGCTTCTGTTTAGTCATGAAGAAGAGCTCACCAATCTGAGGGAAGACTTGCAAAGAGAGAACTTCTTAAACACAGAAAACCTTCTCAATGAAGCTGCTATCAAACACGAGAAAGCGCTGGATGAGCTGCGCGCTGGTTATGAAGAAGAAGTGCGTTTGTTACAAAGGGAGAAAGCAGAATTTGCCACAGAACGGGATGAACTTTTGCACCAGATTCTTGGACTCAAAGAAGACCTGAAGATGGCTTTGCACAGCTCTAAAACAGACAAGCTCGTCCAGCAGCTCCAAGAGCTCCAGGTCGAGCTTGAGGAACTCAGAAAGGGTGGAGAAGAACGAGCAAGAATGGAGACTGAAATGCATACAATACTAAAAAAGACGGACGTACTTGAAAACCAAGCAAAAGAGCGAGAGCAGCACTGGGAGAACAAGCTTAAAGAGCATGAACAGGAAAAGGAGACGCTGATCCAATCAAATAACACTTTGAAAGAAGAGATTAGCTCAAAAATCACGAAAATTGAGACACTCACGGCAGAGAACAATCAAATCCAGCAACAAGTAGCTGAGCTTAGGGAAGAAGTAGAAAAGCAGAGGACTACTTTCTCTTTTGCTGAAAAGAATTTCGAGGTCAATTATCAGGAGCTGAAGGAAGAGTACAAGTGTCTCATTGAGGCAAAGACGCAGCTGGAAGAGAGGACACGGAAGGAGACGCTTGAATTTGAGGCAAAAATTGCCAGCCTTCAGTCACAGATTCGAGAGCTGGAGGAGAGCAGCAACATGGAGGACACAACTGATAAAGCTGTGATTGAAAAACACTCTACTGAACTAATGGAGAAGCTTAATGTTACTTTGAATGAGAAGGAAAGCCTGACTGGAAGGCTTTCTGAAGTTACAGAGAAATTAATGTTTACAGAGAGCAAAGTGGGACAACTGGAAGAAGAGCTGATGAAAGTGAGACGAGAAAACTCGGAGGTCATTGCCCGAAATGAAATCCTAGAGAAGGAACTGGAAAAGGAGCAGGAGATTACGACAGAGCAGATAAGAGGGCAGGATGCCCAGAGAAAAGCTAAGCTCCAGGAAGATGAGGCAGCTCTTGAGACAGTTTGTTCTTCGGTGGATCATCACATTCAGATTCAGTCTCTGCAGGAAGAGATCAAGGCTCTTCAGTCCCTCTTACAGGCAGCTGAACACGAGAGAGACGCCATTCGGCAGACTCTGGAGCTCAACAGGCTCTCACAGACTCCGTCCCCGGCAGCGGTGCAGTCCTCGGGGGAGGGACCTGTTGAAGGACGAGCCTCCCCGCAGAAATCCTCAGGCTCAGGGTCAAGCAGGCGCAAGAGGCGGCAGAGGTCGAAGCAGGAGCGCAAAGTGGGCTCAGCTCTTTCAGAAAGCAGAGAAGAAAGACTAGGGGAGGAGAAAGAGGAGGCAGCGACTGAAGAAGAGAGAGCTAAAAGTGCTGCAGAGGATGAGATGCAGCCTCAGATGGAGAGACAGGTTGCATCTCGTTCAGGAGAGGGGGCCGGTAAGGAGGACTCCACTGACGGATACCAGGGAGACGGAGGCAGAGGCTACATCAGCAGAGAGGTAGGCACTCACATGTATCTGCTGCAGCACGCTGCTACCGTTTTCCTTTGCCTTTTTTACAGTATATGTCTAAATGATGAAAGAGCTTGTGAAAAGAGTTAAAACTGCATCACAATTAATGCTGGGGTACTTGGTGTTAACACTGTTGTTATTATTATTATTATTATTATTATTAGCTTTGTAAAAAAAAATGTGCTGATTGTGTATTCGTAGCCAGATCTTGCTGAAATATTGAAGAGAATGTGACTGAGGCGTTTCAGCGCTGACATATTTTTCTCTGTAGTGAGAAACAGTTATGATTGCAGATTGCCTTCAGGCTTGCTCTGAAAGGTAGCACTGAGCAACATAGTCAGGCTGCTGTGCTGAAAGATACAGTTTCAAGTTTAACCATTCAGCGAGGTAATTGTGGGAAATATGCACGCTCAATGCAGCCTGCATGTTGCATTGAAGTGTCCATTGATATTCTGCTCATTTCTACTTTTTAAAGAGGCGCTATTCAATATTTATAATCAGCTCCTCCTCAAACTCAGCGTAATAATGCTGCTTTTTAAAATGGCTGGAAATGGGGAAGAAAAGCAGTCAGCGAGTCTTCTGATAGCTTTGAATCATTGCAGTTGTGCAGAAATGTGTACATTCTAGTTTCTTTCCATCTTGCAGGGAGTGAAGGGTTTGAGGTGAGAAGCCATTTTAACCCAGTCACTTCTGTGTCTGTGTCACTTCAAGCTGTGTCACAAATGCACAAAGAGTACAAAAAGATTGTGTACGGTGTCTGTCTGCCATTTTCACATCTGTGCCTCGTCATTAGTTTCTCTCACCTCCTGGGTTGGAAAAGCCAAACATGCAAAACCCCCAAAATACAAAAAAAGCAAGGGTTAAAAATGTAACGCAGCACTTTAAAGTTTTACTTTAGTAGATATGTAGTTGATTTGCAGTGTAAGAGCCACATTTCTATTTAAAGGACTTTACTGATGTTCTGTGCAGAGTTAATACTGGGTTAAACAGGAGATTATAAAATCCCTGCATCCTTTGTAAAGTGTAGTGGATACTTTTAGGAAAGAGTTACTAGATGTACTCCATGCTCCCACTCAGGAAGTGATCCATAGCAGTGCATCTTACCTTTCTGTTCATCGCTGTCTTATTTGTGAGCGCTTGTGGGAAAATATCAGCTTTAAAAACTACAATATGTTTACTCTGCTTGCTTCTTTAGGTGAGCGGACATGGGCCGACCGGCGGCTCGGAGCACGCTATCGAGGGAGAGCCGACCGAACATGTAAATGTCACTTAAGCTCACATCCTGCCTTTTGGTTTTCAGTTGCTTTGATGCATCAAACAGTGCGATGTAAAGGTCAAAATATTTTTTTAAAAACAACCCGCTCATACAGCTGCAGTACAGTGCAACCTGTGCTTTTATCCTACACCCGTCTGATGAATAAATTCCTCCTGTTCACGAGTAGGTACAGGCAACGAGATTTGATCATTTCCACACTCGACGTGCCTCAAATTATCAAGTGGATGTGCTTGTTGTGTAGGCAGAAAATTTTCACCAGGCAAAATAAAAAATAAACTCTGCATCAGCAGTCGTATCAGACGGCCTCACGAAAAATTGAAAATAAAAATTGTCATCAGAGGAAAAGCATGCTGTAAGGAATACAGTAAGGGGGAGAAAGTCTGTTTCTCAAAGTAAAATGGTCCTTGATGTCAGGGAGCAGCTGGGGATAATCCTTGACAGTACCCGAGGCGGTTGCTGAAGAGAGAAGCTAACAAAGTGTGCAGGTTTCTGTGCAAAAAAATACGCTCCTAAAATCTCTGTAAACATGTAAAAACCTCAGTTTAACATTAGGAACTAGACTGTAGACTACTTATTAATAAAACCACTCCATTCCCACTTTAGCAAGTCTCTTAAAAACAAATATGGGAATTGTTTTATATATTTGAGCTTTTCCTTTTTCAGTATTTGGAGTAAAAATATGTCATTTTGTAGCAGCGTCACATAATAGCACAGCTGCCATCTGCTTGTTAGGCACTGACCATCTCTCATCTGCATGTTTTTAAGCAGCAGCATCTGCATAGCTACAGGTTTGAAAAGAGTGTGCTCTGCATCCGTCAGGTGTAGTGCGAACGGGGAGATGGCGTCATTAAAGTACACCCTGTTCAGAATGTAGAGTGCACTTCAAAACGTTTGACATCAAAGGTAACAGAATCGCAGGTTCACAAGTGTGTAACCATAATGAGTTTGTGCTAATGCACGATGCATAATTAGAGGAGAAGCCTCACCGTGGGCCTTTTGTTCCTCGTTAAAGAAGTGATAATAGCAGACCTCACGTCCTAAACACAGATGGCTCGTATCACGGCTCCGCCAAACAAATATGATTGCTGGCGTTATGTTATTTAATAATTTATGTCTTCTGGTTATTACATTAATGTAGTATTCTGCATAATTAAATTTGTGGTCAATTATAACTGATATGTGATTATATTTAATTCCTTTTTTTCCCCTTTGTATATAAATATCATAATTCTGTACTTGTGTGTGTGTGTGTGTGTGTGTGTGTATATATATTTAATAGCATACATATACTGAATATCTGTATGAAAAGACACATCCCATTATGGGTTATTTGATGTTGATGAGATGATCTCTTCTTCCTGCTTTAAGGGTGAGTGCAGGTTGCAAATGGAGGCCCAGCGCATTAGCCTGTCTCAGATCCACGCTGCCCAGTTTGAGCTGCTGCAGGAGGAGACCGATGCCCGCACACGCTCTCTGGAGCTGCAGCTGCAGGGCTTGAAAGATCGCGGTGCGCAGGGTGAGCAGATAGAGAGCTTTGTGTGCATCTGTGTTTGTGGCAAAGCAGAGCAGCAATCTGATGGGCTCATGTGTCCTCCATGATTTTTTTTTTTTTTAATACTGCCTGCTTATAGTTATACATCAAAACCTGTATGATTTTATATTACCTACATAATTTTTGTGCTTGTTTTTCTTAGATGAACAAAAAAGCTTCAAATACCAGGATGTGATGCAAGCCGTGTCTGAAGAATGCACTGCGATTATTCTGGTAATTACTAAGGAATAATATTTGAATTTGGTGAATCCTTTCCCTTTTTAAAAAAAAAAGAAAGTGTGGTGCTTCATTATTATCTCATTCAGCCTCATCTTTGTTTCTCTTCAGTCTTTTCGAAAAATCTTTGGTGAAAAGTTTTTGGTGAGCGTCGATGCAGAGAGCAAGCCGCTCACTTCAGAGGAGCGACCAGTAACTAGTGACTCCACCTCCATGATCCTGGAGGCCAGAGGTACACTTTTAACGAGTACATTAAACAAATATTGCATGTAATAAAACACATGAGTCTCCTGAATGCGGCACCACGGGGTCACCGTTAATTACTGTGTGGCTACTAAATGCTTTTACCTCACCCGCTGCAGGTGCACACTCGGATACAAAAACAAAATGTAACCCTTCTTTTTATTTTTCTTTCTTTTTATTTTTAGAGCTTTACAGAGAGCTTCAGCAGGTCAGAGAGAGGATTGAGCAGGAACATCGTCGACTCTCACAGCTCCAGGCTCTGCTGAGAGACGATGGGAACAAGGTAGAAACTTACTCACCCGCAGCCACAAGCTGTGCTTCAGTTCTACACTACAAGCTAATTCCAGCCAAGCTTTGAGCTTTTGTTTTATCACGATCAAATATTTCATTATCAAATATTTGAATATGTTCACAGCAGAAATAATGAGAATTGTTTATGTAGTTTCATTGGCTGTGAAATTTGTTAATTAGCAGGTTGGACTGCATGCATCAGTGCATGAATTGTGCTGTATCATTTTATGTTAGTATAAAACTGAAAAGTAAAAGGTTTTGCTATGGAAATTATTCTATATGGGAAATAATATTTTATAGCTCTGAAGTGTTTGTTTTGAGGACCAGTAAAGATTAAAGTATGCATGGAAGAGCCCCACTAAATCTGTTGTTTTCCAGATGAATGAACTGCAGACAGCGTTCAGTGAGCTGAAGAGCAACAGTGAGAAGGAGATCTCTGATCTCCGAGAACAGGTCGCCTCTTTAAGCCCCTCAGCAAGCAAAGGTAAATCTGGAGTTCATTTTTCTGATAAAAAATTAAACGCTATTATATGTCAAAGCTCATGTAAGTGTGTAATAATAATAATAATACATCTTAAAGATCCCAGGTTTAGGATCACTATTATTCGTTCTCTTGTAAGCTGTCTGCAGCTGCAGGCTTTAAAGTGTTGCAGAGTTGTGCTGTTGAAGTGTGTGATGATTTTTGTGCCCAGAAGGTCCCTCATACTTTGAGCTGGTGTCCTGGTTACATGGTGCATTTTTAATTTTTGCATAAACTGCTTTGTATTCAGACTGTTTCTCAAATGTGTATAAAAGAATGCAAATGCAATGCAGTAAACAGCAAAACAACGTTTTGACTCTTCTGTCCAGAAATATTTAGTTTATCTTTTACCTGTAAATGTTATTGTGACCAAGTTATTTCTCTGCTCATTCATTTCTTGCTAGATATATGCATGTAGGCTTTTGGCACTGCAGCAGGCTGCATTCCCAGAACAAACATAAAAGTATCTTCTAATCAATGTAAATCTCTGATGCTTTCTGGTTTCACATTTCACCTCTGTATCGATTAGATCTGGAGGAGCTGCCCGGTGCATCTACTTCCCTGACCATGGAGTTGCAGAGGCTGAAGGCCGAGGCCAAGGAGAAGCAGCTGAAGCTGGAGGAGAGTCACAGGCAAGAGATGGAGCGTCTCAGAGCTCACTACCAGCAGCAGGCCACAGAGACGGAGGAGCGATACGCAACGGAGCTCTTCATGCTGCAGCAGCGACTGCAGGAGGTCACCACCCAATACAGGTGATGCGCCAGTTAAGGGAGACCCTATTTAAATGTTTATACGCATTTTAAGACAAATTAGTTTGTGAAGAAAACTTGCACAGATAAAAACAAGGCATAAGATATTTTTCACTGGGGGGAAAAAAAACTGTAAAACATTTAAAACCCCGAAGCTAATTTTTATAGATGACTTTACACTCCATTGTTGTTTCATGTGAGACTTTTTAGTTTTTAAACAGCACTGCAGCTGCGCTGATAACATCTCGTGTTTACGTTTAAACACACGGACTCATTTTAATGCTCAGTTGGCCGAGTTTGTGTATGTCAAGTCTGAACAGACAAAGTGACATGAGTGACTGTACTAAAGATAACTTCAAACACAAGCTGGTGTGCACATCCTGTGCAGCACGTGGAAGCTACCTGACCCACTTCAGTTGACAACAAAGCCTTAACTAATGAAATATTCACTAGGCCGCCCACAAACATGTGAAAGTACCTTGTCAGCCTTTACATGTGGTTTTCAGAGAGAAGGGAGGAAATAAAAAAGAAATCCACACGCTAAGTGCCATTTACTTTAATTAAATAAACTTGTGGCCAAATTGTAAGCAGTTGCATCTCAAACGTGATCTCTGAACTCTATATATCCTGTGTCTTCCATCAATCCGTTTTCACGCATCCAGCTTTTGGTTTCAGGGGCAGTAAAGTTAGCCTTTATGTGCTAGCTCATACTTCCTACATACTTTGAGTTAGAGATATGATAAACTAAATACATATTTATATATTTTTAATGCATGAAATCAGTCTTTCTTTCTTTTTCTTTTTCTTTTATAACTAAGACGCTGCTGCCCTCCACTGTTTGAGATTGTAAATATAAGCTTGTTTTCCTCTCCTGACTTAAGTCTAATAAAAGATTTCCAGAGGTGTGGAATTCAGTCACAATTTTATATCCAAGTAAATTATTCTTACGTATATATCTTTACTTAAATTACTCCATTACTCCTTAGGGGCAGAGTTGCACCCAGTAATTTTTTATTTTATTTTTTTGTTTCTAAACATTATTTTAAAATAAATAGTAAATTTACATCAGCAGCGTTTGACTTAATGAACTTCTTGTAAACCTTTTTTTAAAAAGCAAAAATGATGAGTTGCAGCATATTTAATTTTTTTATTTTATCTGTTAGCCTCATTATTAATTATTGAAAAGATCATTTACATACATTTTTGGACAAAGACACAACGTTTGTGTGAAATGATAGATAAAGCATGCAGGCTCAATGATAATATAATAAAACTTGAGTTGACGGTTCTCCTTTGTTACTATTTTTTTTTATCTGAACAGTGCAATGAATACCCCCCTTTTTTTTGTCTCAGAGGTGCTCATCTTTACCCACTCAGCTGTCATTCTTAAACTTTTAAACTTGTTTTACGTCACAGTCGATGCTGACTTTGCATTTTGTCTTTCTGCTTCTCCAGTGTTCCAGAGTCCGGCTCTGAGAGGATGGAGGAGCACAGAGAGGAACTAAAGGTTTGGTTTCCCCACTTCACCCTCTTCCTAAATCTTCCACGTCACACGCAGCATATCGTAATACAAGCTGAAATATGAACTTGCATTAAGATGCTATGACAGTAAGGGTGGATAGGAGGGAACAGTTGAAGCCTTCAGGGTAAAACGTGCCCTAAATTCCCCCGCCTCAATTCCACAACCAGCATCGAGAGTTAGTCCTATATCTAACGATTAAAAGGGGCTGGACGTTGCATAAGCCGTTTTAACCAAGCGGGCGTATTCTAGTTTCGGTGGCTGCATGAAAGGAGGATTCTGTCTTGCGTGAATGAACTGCGGTCCATTTAAGCCATTTCAACTTCTCTCTTTCCTCAGTTTGTCATTCTTACTCCCTCTGACCTCAAAACTGCACGGCTCATGTTTTCAGGCTCTCACATCCTCACACAGAGATAAGAGAGGAAGATTGACAGAAGTGGGGATAAACTGAGGAAAAAATCTGGCACTTTCCGACGTTGTATGTTTTTGATTTGAAGCGTCTAGCTTGCAGCAAGACGGCAAGGAAGGCGAATGACTGTGAAATAGACAAGGAATGTCTCATCACAAGACAGAGTGGTAGTGTGTTAGTGGAAAGTGTTTCTGTATTGTAACGCAAGACATCGCTTTATCTCTTTATCATGTCTGGGAGGCAGGGAGAACAAAATGCTGTATTTAGCAGTGGATGAAGGATGGGGGGAGCTTAACTAGAGGAGTTGGTTATTTCAGGAACTGTCTTAAGGAACTTTCATTACTTAAATCTTCACAGCTTGCTTCGTTTTAACACACTGCTGCTGTTGTACACTTTCTGACTTCTTTCACTCTTTTCAGGAGCTGAGTGGGGAGGATTTGTCAGAGGAAGATGTGGAGCTGTCCCGATCTGTCAGGGCTGCAGGCCTGACAGCACAACTGCAGGCACTGAGGAAAGCGCTCTATCACAAGTACCTCCAAGAAGTCGCCGCTCTCAAAGAACAGCACAGCAATGAGCTGAGGCGACTGAGAGAAGAAAGGGAACAGGAGGGGAGACCGGGAGACAGAGCAGAGAGAGAGCAGGATCTCAACGAGATCAGCGGTGCTGGAAGCTCCACCGAGAGCCTCGGGGTAGCCGCGCAGGTCCCTGTGGAAGAGAAGCAACACCGGGAGAGAGTGGAGGAGGAAGTCGCCAGAGTATGTGGACATGTATTATGAGTTTTTGTGCAAACATCAGGTCGAGAAAACCCCTGAGATCAACTGGTGTGATCTTGTTTTCAGAGGCTTGATCCTCAGGTCGTGGACGTTTATAGTGTAGTTTGTGGACCCCAAAAATGAATCTTTTAGATCTCCATTGTGTCTCACATTAAACAAAATCATGAAGAAAATGTCTTTGTACCCATGGGTTTTTTGTTTTTGTTTTTTAGGCTATAGTTCAGATGTCTCTGGAGTTTGCACAGCAGACTGAGCTGGCTCGAATCAACAAGCGTGCCCGTGAGACAAGCTCGTCCATGCAGACCCAGTCGGACGAGGAGGCGCCGGTGGACGGGGAGAAAGAGGAGCCGACTCCCAGAGATTCCCTCACTGCAGGCAGCAGGCTGGAAGAAGTTGAGAGGGAGAGACTGGAGAGGGAGCTCGTAGAGAGGGACACTGAGATTAGGAAGTTAAAGGAGGAGCTGCAGAAATCTGCAAAATCAGGACCTGAGCAGGTCAGTGTCATCTACTCAGCCGTCATATGCAATGTGTGCATCTGCTCTCCACTTTCAACCAACATCACACATACATTTATTCCCTCTGACCGACTTATTTGCTGCTGTCATTAATTTTAAGATGTACCATGTCACAGTTCAGGTGTTGCATCTCTTGGGTTGAATCTAAGTTATGTATCGTTAATTTTTTTTAAGTAGTAGTAGTAGTATTGCTTTTTGGCTACTCTTACCTGAGAACTATGAGCTTGAATTTTGTTCCTGAATCTGGGATTTTTTTTATATGCAGAACTTTAATCAATAATGTGGAGGAAGCAGTTTGGTTCTGTATTACAATATAGTTTCACATTTTGCATACACGCACCTACTTCATTAAAAAAAATAGTTTTTAAGTATTTTAGTCAAATGATGCTGTAATTTATGAAATTTGTAAAGTTTCATCAACTATCTACCCTGCGTGCCCTGATTTCCATGTGCTGATTGAATATAATGTTATTTTTCAAAGCACTCCTCCTGCCTTCACCAACCATTTACTGCATGATTAAGCTTCAACTGTGTGATAGCAGAGGCTGTCATTTTGAGTTTTCCTTGTGGTATGAGTTACTCCAGCCCACTCTCTAATATAGTATAGTAAAAAACAAACAAACTACTAATACTTAAAAAAAACGTTCATGCACAACAGTAAGTGGTTTAAAATAACTGTAATGATGAGAAAAATGCATCTGGACCTTAAATTATTCATATGTGTTATGGTATTTACTTTGGGTCTTTGCAGAGACATTTTAAATTAAGTTAAATTCCGGTGCAAGTTAAATTAAGATGTGGAAATGATCCACATCTTAATCATCCACAGAAATAAATAGCAAAAAATTTTTTATTTTTTTTTTTTGATAGAGGCAAATCTTTTCAGCCTAAAAACATACAGTCGGTCTATTTACAAACTGTGATGCTGAAGCTTTCCGTTTAATCTCAAAAGTACAATTTTCAGAATCAGAATACTTTATAAATCACTAAAGAAATTATGTGGTTACAGTTGCTCCAAGACAATTAGAACAGGAACTAAATAAACTAAATTAAATAATACAATATATTACAAAGTTCACAAAATATAGGCAATGGCTCTAATATATAAATATTCATATTATATCAGAGAATATCTCTATCTATACGTCTATCTATGTGTGTGTGTGTATGTATATATGTGTATATGTGTGTGTATGTGTGAGTATATATATAGATTAATGCATATTTATCAGTTGTTTATTATATCAATGAATTCTGTGCAAAAGAGATCCCTGGTTCAGCCAGAGTCTGACTGAAATTGGAAAAATATCAACCTCCACACAACTAGAAAAGATCAGTTACTATCTAGTGTTTTTTGCTTTTAGAGACTAATTACAAGCTGACTACTCAGACGTTGAGTGTGCAATACTCGTAGCCTTTGGTTGACCACTTCTGATTGCATGGCAATTACAATGAAAAGTTGAGCCGTTTTGCCTCCAAACGGTCGGTCTGGCTCAGGCTGACTGCAATCACTCTCAGACAGTGTGAACGTTTGCAAATAATTTCTGGGTAATTTAGAAAAGTAGACAAGTCGGCCACACTCAGCTGGTTACCCTGGTTATGTTCTGGTTGTAGTCCTATTTAAAAGCAGCATTGCCAACTGCCTGTTTTTCTGGGGGAAGGAGGGGGTTTGAAATTAAACCATCTGAGTCTCTGTTTCATATCTAGAAGGTTCTGACTGGACTGGATGCTATTAGCTAATGTGAATTTCTATAGATGGCAACAGATTTTCAAATTCATAACACAAGGTAGCAATAGCTCTGGTTGTGCGGTTGTCTCCACGCAGCGTTTTCCCTGGAGTGACCGAGACATTGTACAATTACTTTTTAAACCAGCTTTGTTAATTGTGGTTCCATTTAGAAAAAGAATTTAAAAAATCCATTTAAATTTGTTTTTGTAATACTCAGAAATAGCATGACTAAGGTAGTTTGCATATTCTACAACAAACCACAGACACTCACAGTCTGACCTTGGTTTCAGTGTCAGTGCCTTAAATGCATTTTCCTGTTTTCAGGTGTCACAGTGTGCAGTGATGTGTTCTTACTAAAGAATATTAGGAAACAGTAGCATGCAAAACATGTGCTGAAATAGTTTAAATAACTTCCGCTCGTATTGCAAACTACATTAACACCTGGCATGTAATCAGTCCAGTAGAATGTCTGGATCCACATTAGTTAGCAGTTTTGCAGAAAGATGATGTCTCCAACTATTTATTTATTTTGGTTTGTCACTTGTGATTTGAGCCAAACTAGTAAACTGATCCCATAAACTGTTTGTTTGGGGGCAACGATGGGATAAACTTTGCATTACTGCTGCTCTTCCAGGAGGTGGAGCTATCGCCTCTGCCAGTCTTTGTGCCTCAGGTGCACCTGTTGCCATAGCAGCACAAAGATAGTAGTGTTTCTCTCAGCTCCAAGGGAGTTAAAGTGTGTCTTTGTGTGCGCTTGTAAAAAGGCCAGTGTGTCTATGTGCGCCTTGCTGGGCCTGATTTGAATTCACTTTTACTAATGGTCGCGCACGCTCAGCACGCTCTCCGCTGCTGTCGAGAGTTTTCAGGAGTGTTTACGCGGCCGAAACTTTGCAATGACGGGGCTGCTGTCTGTGTTTTCTCTGCTGCCCGTCCAACCCTTAAAGAAGGAAGATGGTGGTGATGGAGAAGCCGAGGACGATGATGATCCAGGCGGGTTGGGAACAGCGAAGGCTGATGAACGCAAACGGTCTTCACAGGACGACGAAGATTCTTCTGATAAAGAGGCTGAGAGGTACCTCTGCATTCATACTTTCTCAGTATCAACACATCACTGTTGTGTGGACAGATGCTCAGTTTGTTTTTATGATAGCCTGTTGACTGAGTGCCGCACACATATTTATCTATCCAGTTGTTCACATGTGAACTCCTCTTCAGTTTTTTGTTTTTTTTTATGAGTTTAGTACTAACTCTTCATCTTCTGATGATTTTTAGAAACTTGTTGCGTAAAGCCAACATGAAGCTCAGTCAGGTGCTGGTTGAAGTCTTGAAGACCACAGCAGCAGCAGAGGAAACGATGGGCCTCCACATGCAGAGTCTGCGTGATGCTTCCGGTGCAGCACAACTTCCCCACTCCACCACACAGTCAGCCAATACAGAGCCACGCCGACTTTATAACACAGGTGAGCAACATCAAGATTCAGCAGTAATTCAATACTGAATCCAGTTATTAGCCAAAAACAAACAAGTGAAAGAGCAGACTGCAAAACTTCAAAATAGGATTATGTGTTTGGACTAAAAATACTGCTGACCTTGTAGTACGAAAGTCATCATCAAAAACGACACTGATTAATTTCTTGAGATTTCTTTAAAACTCTAGACTTGAATTTCAAATTTGATCAGTCTCGCTCAAAACACAAAATATAGCAATAACACTACATCCACAGTTATTTTAGCATCTGTAGCTGCAATTTAATTGCTTCTGTCATTAATAGGAAATGCAGTACCATGTGCCTGAACAAGGAGTTGCCTTCTATGGAAAAAGTTGTCAAGCGAACATTTAATGCGATCAGATGCAGATAACAGTGCTGATGGTCGTATAATTGAGGTGATAGAAAAGTATTAGATTGACCTAAATGGATGATTAAAGGTGAAGGTTATGTCTCCATGGAGGCCAAGCACAACACAGTCTCTTGTTAACTTGAGATCCTGGATTCATTTGTTATTTTGATACTTCCTAAAAAACATAGCTGCTCATAGTAATCAGTGACCTGCAGGTCATCAATAGGACATCAGAGGTTAGACGATTGTTTGGCTAACCTGGCGTAAGTCCAGTGTTAGACTTTATCATGCATGCATTTCAGGTTGTCACTGCACAGACACTAAACATGTCCGCCCGTATGCCTGCACTCTCCAAACAGACTGAGAAATATTATAATAAGAACATTATAATAATACCCGTCTGTGGAGTCCACAAGCGAGTATAATCCTTATTCTTCTTACTTTATTTTTTTTGGGGGGAAATATTACCTCTAAAGAGGACACTGAGGATTACAACACATTCTTGGCACTTTTGTACAAATTCCTATTATAACAGACTTTTGCTGATTGCAGGTCAAAGTGGAATAAAAAGCCAAATAGTATTTTTAAAAAGTATGGTTGTGCTTATCTGGGAGGCATTCAACGTAACACTTAAGGCTTTTTTTATTTTTATTGCACAAGTTTTCTCAAAAGCTTGTTTTCCCATGATTGATATCATGTCATAAAGTCCAGCCAGTCGTGTATGCACGTTAGATCGGGGTAGGTCTTATCACATACTTTCATGCAAAACAGTTGGAGCTGGTGAATCACCGACCTGTGTGACGTTTATATATGCAACCGTGACAGCACTTTATCTCATTTCCCCTTTTTAATGAAAACATATTTAAAACACAGTTGAGCAACAAATGCCTGTAAAAGTCACAAAACACCACACATAAGTGTGCCCGTGTTGCACAGCAACTACAGCGCGTTAAGTGTTTTTGTGCCACATCAATTCGTTAACTTTTCTGTTAGTTTGTTTTGCATTACCCCCCACAGTGTGAACTCTTCCAAGTTTTGTTACCAGGTTGCATAAGAAGTCTTTCATTTAGGAACAGAGCCAGTTGGGTTTCACACGTTTTTTGTGGTTACAATTAGAGAAACCAGCGTCATAATAAAACCGGCTCGTGTCCTTCAGAAGCTGCTTTGTCCCGTTGTGCTGCATCTTTATGTCGCGCTGCCTCCTTCTTCTGCTGTCATGATACTGTGTGATTATGAGCTTAATAACATAATGTGAGTTACATAATCTGTCAGCTGTGTTACGGGCAGTTATGCGAGTGTGCTGGACCCAGTTTGAACTGGATGATGTGTGCACGCTCACCCTTATTTTGGTTATATATTTAGCACTCTTTGGCATATGACTAGCATTTTTAATGCTTACCAAACATGAAGCTTTAAACTGCTGCGTCCTTACTTAGCATCTGTGAGTCCATGTTGCTTCCCCGCAGTACTTTGGTTAATCTCAAATTAGGCACCACTCAGGCCCTAACTGAACTTTTAGATACAGACTATTAGATTTAACTTAAAATATGCACACGTTGAAACAAACATGATGCATTTCTGCCTTCTGTTGCTCTGGTGGTTAAATTCCAGGTTATACTTCAGGACGTTTACAGGGCGGTGAGACTGCTGCAGACAATGTGAGCATGTGGTCCAGAGAGATGGAGACTCCTGAGGGTCTGGAAGTGTCCCAGCAGATGATGGACAGTCTGCTGCTCGGGGCAGGGCCTCAGCTCGAGAACGAGGAATATTTAATGGGAATCAGCAGCCGACTGCAGACAGCTCTGGAGAAAATGTTGATGGCCATCACTGACACCACTAACCAGGTATACCCCAAGCATTGTTGGTTGTTAATGATTTGAGTTGTCCCCTTCCATTCATTTATTAACTTTTTTATTGGGTAGCTCACATGTGAGTCTTATCTTAATGGGCAGATTTAGTTATTTTTAACCAAATTATAATAAAAAAAATTAATTAAGCATGCATAATAATAATAAAAAAGCCCAAACAATACTTGATCTTTTTGATATTTACTGGTACTCTCTGCATCCTGAGACTTGCAAAAGAAGACGAGTACTGCTCCCTAAATATGAGGGAAGAGCTGGCAGGAAGTTAGCTTACCATACAGGCTAGAAACAAGGGGAAACAGCTTATGTGGCTTGCTCCAAAGATCAAAAATCCCCCAAAAGTACCTCTTTAACTAACCGATTAACTCAGTACATTTCATTAATTAGCAAACCAACTCATAAAAACCATTTCCAGGGAACCAGAGGTATCATTCTCCTAATTAAGCCTTCATTAAGTGATAATAAATTAAAGTTTAGCAGGAGACCACAAGCTTTAATATTTGACATTTTTCTTGCTCTGACTCATTTTGACACCTTGCCCCAGCTTATTGTCCTCTGTCCAGTGAAACTGGTTCTCTGTGGGTTCAGGTTTCAGAACAATCCCTCATGAATCACCCTGTGTTTATGTCCCTAAAAGTTACCAATAAACAGAAAGCTCCAGTGACACATGTAGGCTTTGTCAAAGTATTTAAATGCACACACTCAACTCCGTCACCCCACTCCCCTTCTCTCGTTCTACTCCTGTTCATGGAGACATAATAGGGATGAGGTGGCAGAATGTGACTGGCAACAAAGTTGTCCTGTCTAGAAACTCGCGCACACAAAAGAGCAGCCTCATTCCCAGCGGTTGCCTGTAGATACGAGGAGTATTTACACAGAGCTTTTGTCCGGCCTCCCAGCCTATCGTAGTCCAGTTCCACCAGAACAACTCCATCCCCCTCCCCTTAGGCCATCCACGTAGAGCATGTCCTGTGACAACGCGCAGAGACGAGGCCAGTCTAACTAGGCCAGTGAGCGTGTTACAGTAACTGAATGCACAGCGTATCACCCCAGCGGCTGAAATTCATGTGTTATTCATGCTCGAGTGAGCTTTATCGTGGCAATCTAAAAATAGCTTTAAAGAAATTTCAGGCTGTTGTTTTAGCATCCATTTACACCACACTGTTATTTATGGAATCACTGGTTGTTAGGGGTTTTGGCGTGTTTGTTTGTTTTTTCAAAGGGTATATTCTCCAAATTTTGTTAAGAGTAATAATTTGGGTTACCAAATAATTTTAAGCAGCAATACCAGAACTCTTCTAACAGAGAAACATGTGCTGTAGTCATTTTAAATAGTTACTTTTAATCATTCTCTGGCATCATATAGACCAAATAATTTTATAAAGGTAGTTAAGAAACTGCTACAAGGTGAAAATGATCCTTATTTGTTCTCCGGTAAAGAAATACTGAAGTTTCTACAAGCTGCTTTTTAATTTGTGTGTACTTCTCCAAGTACATGCAATTAATCGCTCCCATAAACTTGTAATCAACAAAGCCTCTAATGGCGTCTCAGTGATTTTCCTGCTGCTATTGATCCTGTGTTCATTTGTCTTGTCTCTGGCTGGTGCTAAGTGATCATGTCTTGGATTGATGTAACAAGCCCGATCAGGAATGTTAACTGTCTGTTGAACAACCGCTGTAAATTATTTGCCTGGGGAAGGCGTTTGCGTGGTTATTGCCCACTCCCATTATACGTGGGCGAGATGTGGAAATTGCTCGTGTGCAGCAAATTCAAAAGTTGACTCTACAAATGGAGACTTTACTTTAGGTTTGACCAAGAGGCAGCGTGTCAAAAAGCCTTAATTGCTTTTTTTTTTTTCTGCTGTGCACAGGAAAAGGAATCTGGTTTGACAGCTTTCTGGAGGGAGTGTGTTTTGTCTGTGGTTATTTCTGTGTATAGGGAGTGTGTGTGTATGAGATCTATTTGCAAGTCTACCTAGCCCTCTGGCTCTAAGGATTGAAGCCACACCTGCTTCCCTCCCACTTTTTTTTTCCCAGCAGTATCCTGCTCTCTGTAATGAATGTAGGAAGTGGAAAAAGTGCCCTCGTCTGTTGAAAATGCTTTTGGATGGTTTGGATTTGAATCTTTTTTTCTTTTTTTCCCCCCTGTAGCAGAAGCGTAGAGATGGGTAAAGGAAGTTTAGCAGTGTGAGAGTATCTCTCGCTGGTAGTAATTAAACCTCGCCTGACAGGAGAGTAGTGAGGGATATTATGGTAAGAGCACGGGAGCATGCGTGGAGCGGGAATGACAGCAACCCTAGAAGGAAGTAAGAAGGAAAGAGTGAGTGACTACAGATCTGAGCGCTGTCATTTCACCCTTGGCCGACTGCTGCTCGGACTAAACAATTAAAAAGGGGGCCAGTGGGAGGCTTCCCGGCAGGTTTGGGTTGCTACAGCGGCATAGTATTGTTAATGAATCTCCAGAGAGAGAAAGCGAGCGGAGGGAGAGGAGAGCAGGCGGGAGCAGATGTGGGGGTGTGAGCTTCACTGAGCGGTATGATATGGTTTCACTTCGAAGAAAAAGAAGAGCAGAGAGAAGGCTGGGGAGCTTTAAAGAAGGCATAGAGCAAAGAAATGCTTGTCTTTGTGTTTACATACCTCCTGCAGTCACGGTCAGGAATGCTCTTTAACCTGCTGGACCCAGAAATGACTTCCACCTGCTGCCGAGGATGACACTTTCTAGTAGGATCATAAAATCCTCACCCTCACCGGATGATTTTCTCTCTCAGCATTTACCTGGATTTCTTTCTACCTCAACCAGAAAGCATGTGATTGAGCTGACGTGAATGTCACCTCCAAAGATTGTTTACTCTTCTGCTGAGCGTACCAAACACATAGAAACTGTTGCTTGGAGCTATCCACAACACTATTCACGCCTTCATCCCCCGCTGGACTTCATTGTCATTCTCAGTTTGCCTAGCTCAGCCTGACGGATAACAGCACCTGGAAATCCTTTTTGATGACTTCAGATAAGATTCAAAGTGAGGTTCTCCCATCATCCGTACGTCGTCTACCATGGATTCATATCGCTCTTACTGGAACTCGAGTATGCAGAGCAGCACGTGGCTCGAAGGGGAGGACAAGGATGTGTACGAGGTGGAATCTCGCATACCCCTTCCTCGACCGTTCCCATTTTGCAGCACGCTGAACGAGAAAAACGCTGTGGTGGTGCAGACACAGATTTCACATGTCAATCACAGGACTAGCGGCCACCTTCTTAAAGTCGTCTCCAAAATCTCCCTGCCCACTCCCCCTTATACAGTAAGTTTACACCTGGTAACCCACAGATGGACTGTGTGTAAATTATACTTGTGGAAGTTGTTTGTGCTGCTCTTTACAGCTCAGTAGTTCAGATCTACATATTCAGGTGTGAGTTGAACCGTTCCACGTAGGCACACTTGGTAAACGATTATAACTTCTCTGTGGTAGGATCATGTTACCACTTCCCATAATTTTACAATCAGACCTTTGCTCAGGGAGATATGGAAATCTATGGAAAATGTAGTGTGGAATGAGGTAGTGTGCTCCTGGTTTATTGCGTTTTAATGATTTCATAGCTGTCCACAAGAAAAATATGCCTTCTGTCACATGACCAGCAGGTCTTTGCACAAGGATGATATAATTATTGTATCACATCCTGCACACAACCACAGTTTATTACTCGCTTTAGCAGGCCCTTTACGCAATGCCAGCACACATGTTGAAGTTTATCATAACAACATTGCACACAGACACTGCTGAACGCTGTTGTCAAAGCATTTGTAATGGTTGTTATACTTACACAACACTTTTTTTTATTTTGAACATACTTAATTTGATTTGCCAGTTTTTGTTTCTGCTGTAAATCCTTTGAAAGATGGGCAGTGTAGTGGTATGGTGGTTAGCACTGTTGTGTGGTTGTTCTAAATTGGCTTCAGGTGTTTCTGAGGTCAGTAACAGCTGGGACAGCTTTCAGGACCCCTGTGGTGAAATTAAGTTGGACAAGTTGACAATCTTATTCTTAAATAGACTGATGGATACACTTCAAATCGATATCTGGATCTTCTTCTTCTTTCAGCTGCTCCCATTAGGGCAGGGATGTCAAATTCATTTTACTTTGTGAGCAATTTACAGCCCCTTGTAATTGGGCCACATAGGTGAAACTCCCCATTCTGTCTCAGAAAGGTTGGGGAAACCTGCAGGCAGCTGAGACTCAAGAAGTCACTTGGATGAGTGACGAAACGTTTCTCCCATTGAAAATGCTACGTCCAGATGAACAAAATCAACCTTTTGGGATCCCCTTTCTGTCAGTGTAAAGAAATTTCACTACACATTTAATCCTCAAGATACCTTAATATAAGAAAAAGAAGTATAATGGTAAAGAAATGATGTTGTAATGAAATGAAAAACATCTTAAATAGAATAGAGTATAATGGATACAGTGTAGCCCATCCTCCCATTATTAAAAAAAGAAAAAAAGAAGATGAATTATTGCCTAATTATTTTGGTGTCTAATGAATGCCCATGTGGGAATTTTTTTTATCTGTAAACATAAAGCTGTAAAACTTATGAAAATATAGTTAAAAGTCCAAAATTTATGCCGCCTTTTACCTTCTCCAAAGTTGTCCATTGGGGGCGGATTGAAGTTTGCTGGGCTGATTCTGGCCCCCCGAGCCTTATGTTTCACACCCCTGCTTTAGAGGATCACCTGCCTCCGTCTCATCCTATCCTTAGCATCCTCCTCTGTCACACCAACCCTCTGCATGTCCTCCTTCACTCCATGCATGGATCTTCTCTGTGATCTTCATATTTTCCTCCTGCATGTTCAACATGATATGTCCAGTGTGTCCATTATCTGCACGTCAGTTCTAATCAATATGTGCATATAGGTGGTTTATTACAATTTGACATCTGTGCAAAATGACGCACACATCAGCAGTAAGAGGCTTAAAGTGCTTTTATATGTGGGGTACAATTATAATATCACAATAAAAATAATCATCAAGCTGTCCAAACCAGAATTTAACTTTTTCATTTCAATGAGAGATGTCCTGGCCATCATCTTCTATTCACTGATGTAGAAAATTTAAAGTTGTATGTAAAATTCGTGGGCTTTAATGAAATAGTGCATTTTCACAGTAATGATTCGTTACTGTAAAGACGCCTTCATTCTTGTTAAAGATCATCTCTTTCCACTTCTCCTTTCAGGTCGAACATGCCCGGATGACCCAGACTGAGCTGATGCGGGAGTCCTTCCGCCACAACAAGGAGATGAACGAGCTCCTCCAGAAGCAGGAGGAGCTGCAGGAGAGGGTGATGGAGGAGGCTCGGGCACGGGAGCAGCTGGCTCTGGAACTTCACCGAGCGGAGGGTGAGGTTTTACTTTTATGTAGGAAAATCTTCTAGTTTATGTTGATTCTTACAAAGTGACTGAAGGAACTGAGCTATAGCTTCATTTTAATTTAAGTGCTGATCAATTTTAATGTGAGCCAGGGAAGCGTTCGTTCTTTGTGGGCCTTGTAAGGGACACTTCCTTTACAGTAGCCTCTTAGACTCTGATCGATGATGTGATAAAGTGAGTCTGACGAATGATTAGAGAAAATGGGGAGAGCTGCATTAAGTGGAAACGCATGTGTGCATGGGGTTGGAGGCTGTCACGGGGAGTGATGGGATCAGCTGTTTGAGAGGCCATCTGTGGTGAGAACTCAGCAAATGGTAATTATTGTTTCTGAGCCTGTCTTTGGGTTTGTGTTTGAACATTTGATTGCATCTGTGTGACAACAACATTATGAAGGACTGTGAATGGTGGTGAGAGTAATCACGAGAGAACAAATTTAAATATTTAAGCTATTAAAGTCCAGTAGAGTAGTTTGAATGCTGCGATGGGCCTGGCTGTCCATGTCAGAGACAGCTGCCCTATGAGGGTCAGCTGTTGCACCCATATGCATGCTCACACCAGAAACTCACGGGACCCACTACATCCACTACACTGTCGTTTAAAGCCGTGTTTGGTAGCAGTAGAGTACAACAATTATTCCCTTCTGATTAGCTGTGTGGACGCTGTGAGCAGCGGTGAGTTTATCGCATTTTTAATCTCACTTTTTTTTTCTTTTTTCTTTTTTTTTTGAAGATCCTGTTGCAGTGTTTGTTTTCAGTAATCCTAGATGAGATGCAAATATTTGATGTCATAAAATAACTTCATACTTTTATAGGTAGGGCTGCAACAGTAATGATAAATTTGCAATTGTACATCACATGACACCTTCTGTCCTTTGACCCCTGATTTAGATGTGGAAAAACTCATTTAGAACTTTTTTTTTTAGCAGCAGTAACTTCAAAGAAAATCAACTAATCCTCACTTTATACACACATAAAAGTCTCATTCATCAAAACAGCTGGGAGGTAATTTTCAGTCAATCATGTAAACAAGAGCAGCTGTTCCTTTCTGGTCGTGTCAGGTGCTTCTTCTGTAAGGGAGTGTTTGAAATTTGCTAAGCGTGTGTTTTTTGGACATCTTCTTGTTCACATACCAGTTAAGTGAAAGAGAAGAAAAATCTAATCCCCATTGTGTGGATAAACCATGAAGCTAAAACCTCAGGGCGTGGCCTTTTCAAACTGGTTTTGAATCAACCCAAAAGACAGGTTCAGCATTGACAAAAGGTACTTGACTTGATGGAACATATTAGATGTCAATGAAAACACAAACAGGTCCTGCTTTTGTTATGTTTGAATCAGGGGAAAAATGCTTTGTCAGATTAGCTGTAAGATCACGATGATGTGGTGCAGTAATTCTTTGCCACCTTAAATGTGGTTGCAGGTTCCCAAGACGCTTACGTTTATCTGGTTAATGATGTTTTTTGTTATTTTAAAGCAAGTAATCATGTGAGTTTGATTGCTGATCATGGAGAGATCCCTCCTTAGGCAAACTTTACACACACCTTAAGTTCAATTTGATATGTCTGAGATAAAATCACCTGACAGCACAGGTGACACTCGCCTACTGTCTCTCAGTGCTGTCATAAAGTAAGAAAATAGACTCGCGGAAGCTCTAGCAGGACAAAATAAACATTTCCTTATCAGTTTTGAGTGTGTGAATGCCTCCTTTTTTGCGTCTATGAAGTTGAATTGATTTCCTGGTGCATAATGCTTGGTGACCTGTAGATCATTTGGAGCATTTCATTGTGTTTTACAGCTCACATATTCATGTCGAGCAAAATGGGTCAGACATTCTCACTCGTGTTTTTGTGCCTCAGCGTGCACATATGCACATACAATGTGTTTTGTGTGTTAGTGTGCATGCGTGTGCGTGCGTGTGTTGTTGGTAACCTGTAATTTTATTGCATCCTTCTTCTTAGTGCTCATTCATCTGAATTGGTGCCAGTATTAAAACCCAAAGAAACTCATTTAGAGTAGATCCGTCAATTCATCAGAGAGCAAAAAGCTGTGAATATGCATAAATAGCTCTTTCTGCAACCTTTATAACAGTTTTTGCTCACATTGTCCACTGTCAGGTCTGATTGATGGATACACGGGTGAACGGGCAGCGCTGGAGGAGCAGTTGCGTCACAAGGAAGAGCTCCAACTGAGTCTCGAGCAAGAGCTGCAGGTAAGGAGGAAAAATATTAATCCAATTACTAAGTACTTGACACCATGATTGTGTAATTCTGCCTCTGGCACATTAGTGGCTCAGATGTAAGCACAGTGACACGTGACGCAGAAGTTTGAATTCAGTTCAATTGTGGCCAAGTCATATAATAGTACTGGTCTGCACTAGTGGCATATTCATGTTTTATGTTCAGGTTTCAGCCCCTGAAACTTGAGAGCGATGATAAACTAACTGTAAAAACTGATCCTCTTTGTGTGTTAAGTTAGCTTGTTTGTGTTTGTTAGTGCCATGGAGCCACAAAATGAAATGCATTAATGAGTGACATGTATTGTAGTTCATGCTGCGTCCACCACACTCCCAACAAAGTCAGGCTTTCCTGGAATTAGCTGGTTTTACAAAACCTAAAACTCAGTCACGACGGTGGTTATCAACTTTCTCTGTTAAGCGGGGATTTCTGCATCATGCTTTGTCTATACTCTCATAAAAAGAGGCGTTTTGCGTGTCACATGATTCTTCTGCACAAATTGATCCTATGAGTGCCACCTAGTCGAGTCACAGACATTATCTGATTAAAATGATGATAAAAAAAATCTGTAAAATGCAACACTGTTGCAAATAAAACATGAAATGAATGCTGCAGAAAATCGTTAATCTTGGGATTTAGTGCACAGAGCGGTGAAATAAACATTTCAATTCAAGCTCTGAAGCTTTAAACTTTTCACATTTAAGTATTAAAGGCTGCTGTCCTGTAGTCTAATGAAAGAGATGTGAAAATGTCTTTAGTTTGTCAGCAGATTAAAGTGAGATTAATTATTGATTGTTAGGTATTCTTTGTGTTTTTAGCAGCTGCAATTCTTGCAGTGTAACAGTGACTTATTAGCAAATCATGGTAACAGTGCCACTTGCAGTTTGTTCTGCTGTAACTTTGAAGCTGAGCTTGGTGATGTTAGTGAAAATGAGGCACTTGATTTTAAACTGAAACTCATAATCGTGATGTAACTAGCTAAAAAAGATATACAACTGTGTCATTTCCTTTTGTGTAAGTGAAAACTCAGACTTTAAGCTCGACACATTAATCCCGCTCTCGTAGTGCAAACCTGTGTTGATGGAAACATGAGTGCAGCTGAAACGGATCATCTTGGGGTTACTCAGCATGTCTGTGAAGACTGATGATAGTTGTGGTGCAGACTTGAATAATACTTCACTCACTGTACACTAGTAATAATGGTCAATTTTGATTTCAATGTGTGTACCTTGTTTGCCAAGTCTGTTATTTATTTTATCCCTTTACTGCTGATGTGTGAAAGAACTTTTTATCACCCCTGTGTTTATGCTGCTTCTGATTTTGTTTGTGTTGGCCCAGGAAGATTACTTGTTACTGCTATAGTGACTAATATGAGCTCCAATTTAATTAAAAAACAAAGACTGATACAAAGACAGATTACAGCATCTGCATCACCCAGTATTTTTAGACAAATACAATAATGGTTATTTTAAAAATAAAATTGTAAATTTACATCCTTGAAATGAATCGTTGTCCTTTGAACTCCAAAAGTTATGATGAATGAGGCAAATGTAGAATATCAAACGTAAAAAACAGCCCCACATTTTTTGTGTTTTCTTGTAGGTCACTAGTACTCGACTTCATGAGTTGGAGCAGGAGAAGTTTCAGATGCAGGAAGAGCGCGAGCTGCTGTCACGGCAACAAGACGCAATGAAGGAGGACGCCGGGCCCCGTGAGCTTCGTACGTATCCCGGCGTTCCCTTAATGATGATAAAGGACGTGTGTTTTTAAAATGACCCAAAGCAGCTGGAAATAAGTTAACATGGTCTGAACTTTAAACACCAGTTGGTCTGGAGGTCAAAAGGTTACTTGGTTATATTAAATCAATTTTTAATGAGCTGTAATTAGATAGTGAAAACAGTGACAGGAACAGAGATCAAAGATCAACAAGTCAATAAAATGTTTATTTGTTGAATGTTTGATTAAAGCTCCTGAGGATTTCTTAAACTCTTGCTACTGTTTCACATCACACATTTTCAGGTATTTGCTGAAGAAATGTTGATAACCGTATTAGCTAATTTTTTGCACTGTATTGTCAAAAAAAGGTGTGCCGTGAGTGTATTCTTTCATAAAAACAAAAAACGTAAGTATTCTGTATTTTAGAAATTAAACAGGGGCTCTTTGAGGAACCTTTCCTTTCACAGCGCACTTTCCACAGCCCTAACCTACTACTGTGGCACAGGCAGACGAGCACTGCCATCCTGTCTCCACCTATTTCCATTCTTTATCTCAAGAGTTTTCCTGTTCATTACAAAAACAAGAGCATGTTAAACTCCTGTGCTTTCTCATTCTCCTGTAGGCCTAGTTGAAGCTGCAATGGTTGCAGCACCTGAAGCAGGTGTGTCCACTTTGAGCATGGCTCAGTCGTGTCTATATGTTCTCTTATTTGTCTAGCTGAGTCACGCTGTTTTACATCTCTAACCTCCCAATCCAGCAACTCACCAGCACAGCTTGGAGCTTGCTTGCTATGGGCTCATAAACTCACTCAGTCCAATCACTAACCCGTGCTTCGGCTGTTCACTTTGATTGATTTTTGTCCTGGTTTGTCATTTTTAAATGTCAATGTTGGCACTCATGTTAGCATGATGAAATGGACGACATTTTTATGTAGGCATTGTTTCCTAATCGCCATTCATCTTTATAACTCTACATGGAGTACTTTCCCCCTGCCTGTAAATGCTTATTGGGCATGGATATTGCAATGTCTGGACTGTCCATGTGTTAGACCTGTCATTCATACTTTTTCACCCTGTTACTTTTGCACTAATCTTCTGGGTTTTGGTACTGGGTGAACCGGTGTGGGTTGTTCACTGGTGGCAGCAGAAGGGCAAAGATGGGGGATCATGTTTGGTGACATGTTTGGAAGTGGATTGAAATGTTGGAAGAGTCTGATTCTAGCCTTTAATTCAGTTGTAAAGGTGACCACAGTGTAGAAAATTAAGACTGGGTTGTTCATTAGATTGTTAGTAGATTATTTTGGTACAAAGCAAGCAGCATTTAATTCACTCCCAAGGCTCTCAGACTTCAGACTCTTCATCTCAACTTCCTTCCATCACCAAAATCAAACCTGAACCAGCGATCATTAGATCCTAACTGTCCGTCCTTCCTTCGTTGCAGACCTGCTGGAGGAGACGGAGAAGCTGATGAAAGAGAAGGTGGAGGTGCAGAGGCAGGCAGAGAAGGAGAACTCTGACCTCCTGAAACAGGTGAAGCTGCTGGAGGTGGAGCTGGAGGAGCAGGTCAACAGGGTGATGGAGCTGGAGAGCACTCGGACGACAGAGAGCGGGGACCTCCGACAGCAGATCCAGGCCCTGGAGAAACAGCTGGAGAAGAACAGGAAGTTTCTGGATGTAAGTGACGATGAGAAAAACCTCTAACCTCGTGTATCGTTTAATCGTGTATGTCATTGTTTCTAAAACAAAACAAAGCAAAACAATTTCCAGCTTCTTAGAAGTGAACCTATGAGCCTGTGTGAACCACTTCTCTTTCTAGAGTAGGGGTCAGGATTTAGTAAAACGTACACACGTTGCCTACAACCAAGTGGTGTCAAGGTATTATTTGCAGTTTTACAGGACCTTTTCCATTTTCACAAGAATCAACACTCCTCCTGGTCAGATTTTAGTGTAACAGGATGAAATTGTCCTGGTTATGACAGTTTGTGAGCGCCATGACTTCTCAGTGGATTTTAACTCATTAGTTTGCAGTGCACCCAAACAATGACAACCAGACTACACATTACAATAACCTGTGATGTATCATAACCAGGTAATCTACTGCAGTACATCACAGATGTTCTGGTTATGTAACATTTAACTAAATATATGTTGTTTCTGGACTTTTACTCACACAAATTAATCATTTTGAATATTTTAAATTTACCATGGCGTTATTTTACTACTTTTGGGGGCATAACAGACAAAAGAGCTCTATAAAATCCCCATCAGGGGATCAAATGCCCCCAGATTCCCCATCAGCATAGGAGTTTAAGAATTCAGGATTTTTCCTATAAATTGTCACTTGTCTATAGGTGACAGCTGACATTTAGCAACACATTCATAGTCAAAATTTACATTTTTACAAAAGTAACCCATATTTTAGACACCTGTTCGTCAAATCATTTAAATGTTTCTGAATAGAGACTCATTTTTAATTCCAGGTGAAACACAGGAAGCAGCTGTAAAGATTAAAGCTTCCTGGTGAAAGTAATGCATGACTTTTCAGCTGCACGCCACACTAGATGGTTTAAAATCCAGCCTTAATGTTCTCATGATATTTTTGGCTGAGCGCTTATCATCTCTGATGATAATGAGTTGTGTTCCCATCACAACAATTGGGCCACTTGGCTGGGATTGAAATGTGGACCGAATGCAAATTCTTTCTATTCTGTGCTGCTGACGTTGGGTATTTAATAATCACGTGTTTGCAAAAAAAAAATCATTTTCTGTTTTTTGGCAACCAGTAGCGTTTTTTTTTTTCTTCTTCTTTATTTTCTGTAAAAATGTTCTGGTGATTTTATTCTCATTTAAATCTTTTACTGGAATTAAGTTTTTCCATGTTGCTGTTGTTCCTACATCGTCAAAATAATGCTGGTCCAGGATCAACATTGCAAATGACCAATGACAGTGTCTAAGGAGCTTGGAAAGAACGATGACCTGGATGACTGAGAACCTTCACGGACATAGCCTTCATTTAGCATTAGCCAAGAAGTTTGCTAACACTTTCAAAAACTATCACTAACAAACCAACACGAGTAACCTAAATTTAACTAGCAACAGTATTGCTGCTATACTGTATAAATTAATAAAGAAATGCTTACTATTTGTTCCAGAAGAGAGTTTTATATAAACAAAAGCATCTTTTCTCTCGTCCCCGTACGTTGCAAAGCTGTGACATCACAACAGTGTCACTGGTCATTTGCAATGTTGTTTCTACACAATCATGATGTTGGTGCCATATATCTAAACTCAGACATTAATATGAAACATTCTTTCTGAAAGTGAACAAAGACACATCAGTGCTGTGTTTCAGTGCTTACCTTGCACACAAATTTAGCAAAATCCGTGGCAATTGTGCGCTGCCAACTACAGCGAGAACGTGTTGGACTTAAATGTGATAAACTCCTGATAGAAGATTATTAACAACAAGCAGTATGTGATTCAGAGTTAAACTCATCAAACTAGGCCACCAGCTGGCACCTTCCTTCAGCTCACACTTGTGTAATGCAGGACTGACGAGACAATAAAATCTTTAAAACATTTTTAACAAGTGGAAACAATAGAGGAAGCAAATAACACATTAAATACTTGTACTCACAAGTATCAGTGTAATGTGGTGTTGATCAGTATTGGTCTCCGTCTTCATTATTTGTTGATCTTTCTTTCATCTGTATTTTGGCATTTAGGAGCAAGCTGTAGACCGAGAACATGAGAGGGATTTCTTCCAGCAGGAGATCCAGAAACTGGAGCAACAACTGAAGAACCCACAGAAGCTTCAGGCCAGCTCTGAGCAAAGAAACCAAGAGGTAACAGGAGAAAGCTGCGCTTTCTGCCAGAGGACCAGGCTGCAAAAGAGACCTGTGTTTTTTTTTTTCTTAGCATAACACTGTTGTTGCACGGAGTCCAAGAGCAGAACAATGGAGCTGATAGAATTACCTGCCTGGCTTCGAAACTGACGCTAAAGACAAATGAATTACAGCAGTACTTTGTGTTTTGTAAGATGCGTAATCGGTAGGTTTCATTTCCGTCAGTCAGTCATGACGATGTAAAACTGAAGCTGTTGGAGGTTTTGGCTTAAACGCTAAACATTAACCTGTAGAGTCAGTTAGGCCTCTCTCAGACAGGCCTGCAGACCAGTTGGCAACCTACAACTAGTTTATTCCCAGACTGGTTAGCAAGTGGTTGCTGGGGTAAAATGAGTCTGAAAGAGGATGCTGTCACTAGCAGGGTTCTGCGCTTGTCTGTATTCTGCATGGAAGGCGCTGAAGTGTCTGCCAACACTTGCTAACTGCTCATGGAGAAATACTGAAACTTCAAAAGTGCAGCTGATCGTCCGTCTGCTAAGTAGAAGTAAAAACCAACACGTCAAAAGGTCCAGTTTTGCATTTTTCCCTAGCAACCTATGGTTGCCAGGGGCCATCACTGACCGATTTCTAGGTTGCATGACTGAGGCTTTACATCGTGTGACACTGAACCTGAGTGATTTGCTTAGCTCCAGCAACTTAAAGGCTAAATTCAAATGTCTATGCTAATCTACTTTCTTATAGTAACAGTGACCCTTACAGCTACCTGTTGCGTTAAGGTCAGTCATAAACCCTCACCTCGGTTCTGCTGGTTATTTTATTTTTTTAGCTTTATTGTATCATGGTAGTGCTCCCATCAGTCGTACTTTAAGACTCAAAAGTTGCCCATATCCAGGGAAAACGCTCTGCTGTGACGCCGCTCGCCCAGCACCAAACATCAGGCAGAGTTGGCAACAAACCTGAGAACAGTGAGCAACTGTTTGCTGACATATGTGCTATATAACCTTTAAAGGATATGCAGTAAGTTGGTGTTGCATTTACAGCAGCGGTCCCCAACCTTTTTTGCGCCACGGACCGGTTTATACCCGACGATATTTTCACGGACCGGCCTTTAAGGTGTCGCGGATAAATACAACAAAATAAAACTAGTACCAGTACCGAAAAAAATAAGATTTATTCATAACACACGTGAAAAGACCCAGGAAACCGAGTTAACGATAAAAACGATAACAAAATAACGCTGAAAACCGATAAAAACCCTGAAAACTATACATTTCACACCTGAGCCTCAACTCCCGCGGCCCGGTACCAAACGACTCACGGACCGGTACCAGTCCGAGGCCCGGGGTTGGGGACCGCTGATTTACACTTTTTAGGGGCAATCGTGGCTCAAGAGTTGGGAGTTCGCCTTGTAATCGGAAGGTTGCCGGTTCGAGCCCCGGCTTGGACAGTCTCGGTTGTTGTGTCCTTGGGCAAGACACTTCACCCGTTGCCTACTGGTGGTGGTCAGAGGGCCCGGTGGCGCCAGTGTCTGGCAGCCTCGCCTCTGTCAGTGCGCCCCAGGGCGGCTGTGGCTACAATGTAGCTTGCCATCACCAGTGTGTGAATGTGTGTGTGAATGTGTGGATGACTGGATATGTAAAGCGCTTTGGGGTCCTTAGGGACTAGTAAAGTGCTATATAAATACAGGCCATTTACCATTTTTAATATCCAGCCATCATCTGACCTCCAGCTCACTGCTGGCAAGGAGAAATGTCACTTGGATCAACACTGTTGTCAGGACGGGATTTAGGGACAGATCTGTCGGTTTCTTCTTTTGTGTCTCATGCAAGCTTCTCATACTTCATATGTTTTGACCTGAATAACCAGCTATGACCAGAGTAACCGGTTTTCCTAATTAATGACTGCTGCTTTCTCATTACCCAGCATATGCAGTTTGAATTTGAAAGTTTACATACACTTATGGATGTAACAGCTGGTCTCTCTCTGTTCTTTTTAAATTTAAACTTTTGTATAAAATTATTATTTTATTTTTAACTCTTAAAGATGCCTCGTGTGCAATCACTCATTCATGAGGAGTGTGTGTAAACTTTACATCAGAGCTGTAGCTCAGGTTTCGGTTGCTCCTCACCCCAAACATGGCCTGCTTACATTATCTTCATAGACAGCTGTAGCATTTTTATCACTAAGTGCTTCTCTTCCTCTGCCTTCCTTTTGCCCTTGAACTCTCCACCCTGTGGCCCTTTACGCTTCTGCCTCCTCTGTCCCGTGGCTATTGCAGGTGGATGGAGTAACCGTTAAGGTATTGCTTTTAGCTAAATGTAAAACAAAGTTATCCCAGAGAGCAGTTAGTGCATTTTAGTAACCTCGCCCAACCCTGTAGCAGTTCATCGCCTGTCTTATCCCCCCCCTCCTTTTCTTCCAGTTTGAGCTTCCTCTACTGTATGTGTGAGAAACCTTTCACTGTTCCACTGTCTTGTCTCTCAATCTGATATCCCACATGCACACTGTATAAAAAAGATGTACGTAGCTTTCAGTGCAAACAGTCAGAGATATAGCTGTGGCTATGTCCCTTTAGTAAATTTGCCTCTTGAAAGTTTTCTTTTAAAAATAAATTTTTTGCTGTTGTAGCCTTTATTGACAATCATTTAATCTAAAATCAGAGCAGAGAAAAGGCACAGAAAACTCAAACCTGGGCTTCTACTGTAGCCCTACGCCATAATGGGTGGCCTGCTCAACCTGGTGAGCTATTAAATATCATCTTCAAGCTTCACAAAGTACCTTTAATTACTTGTTGAATAATTTTAGGGAAAAAATGCTCTCTTGCCAAGTTGTTCCAAGAATATAAAGCAAGAAATTTGCCCAGAAATCAGATTTGTTTTTCCCTCTTCTACTCATGAGCCACAAGAGACAGTGAGGCTCATTCTTGGCCCTTGTGATGTGCCTATTCTAGGGTCTAGTCATATAAATATTTAATGAAGGGAAGTCTATGAGAAGATGTGCTTGATCTGTTGAGTTTCGCTTGGATTTGGTTAGGATCTGTTTTTGTGCCATGCAGTGCTTAATTCTGCAAGGCCTGACCTATGAAATGATTGCCAGAAAACTCCAGTTTAGTTTATCTTAAACAGAAATGTATACAGAGGTTAGGGTTAAAATTATATAGATAGATTAAATCACACAGATTCTGTAGAGGTTTCCAAAACTCATCAAATACAACACGCTTGTCGTTACAGGCTTAAAAATGCCTTTTGAAAGTTGCTCAGTCTGTAATGGAAGTGACTGATTATTGTCTTTATTCAGCTACAAAGGGAGAGCATTAATCTTCTCAGGTTTATCTCTTTCTAATGAAGATGTGTAGGTTTCCCAGTGCGTAGTTCATCCTAACTGACTGTTCCTCCCGTTGATGCCTCTTCCCCCTCTTCATTGATCTGCTGATGTTCTCCCATCTCACAGGTGGATCTCTTACCTGCCAGCTATCTTCTTGGTTTGTTCCCCCCACCCTCCCTCAGTAAAATCTCTATCTACCCTCTCTCTCTGTCCCTGCACCTCTTCTCGCTCCCGGCCCCCTCCTTTCTCAGGTGGATCAGCTGACCTCCCAGCTAGCTGTTCATGCACCAGCTATGCTGTAGCGAGTGGCTTCTGAGAGCAAATCTCACTAACTGATCCCCCCCCCTTCTCCTCCTCCTCTCTCTCTCTTTTCTCACTACCAGGTGGACCGGCTGACCTCCCAGCTGAAGGAGAAGGCGGATTGGTGCAGTGAGCTGCTTCTCAGCTCGGAGCAGCTGCGTCGTGAGGTGGGAGAGCGCGACGAAGAGATTGACAAGCTGGAGAGCCGCATCCGTGAGCTGGAGCAGGCCCTGCTGGCCAGCGCTGAGTCTCTGGAGAAGGTTAGGAGGGAGAGGGAGAAGAAGGGTTCAAAACAGAGGCAGCAGCAGAGGAAAAAGCAGTCAGAACAATAGCTGTGGAGCGTGGCAGAGCGAGTGTGTGTGAGAGAAGAGAGAGCATGCAGATGAGGTGACAGCTAGAGGAGGAATGGGAGGAGGGCTGGGACGCTCCGAGAGCGAGAACAATGTGTGGGTGGGTCTACTTCAGTCGCCCACATTGAGATACGACTAGCAGCTGTCAAGTTTGCCCCCCAGTGTTCGTGGATGGCGGCTGCTCAGTTCACAAATTGCAGTGCAGGTTGCCTTACACACGATAACAGTACAGACAGCATGCAATAAGTCATTAAAGAGGTTTCCTTTCATTTTCTTCTGCACACATTGCAAAAAAAAAACTGCTGAGCTAAACAGTTTTTTTGATGTGTGTCGTTTTCTGTCGCAGGTTGAACAAAAGAAGCAGCATGCATCCATCACAGAGACAAGACAGCCCACACTGGAAGCTCAGCTACAGACGGAGAGAGAAGCTCTGGAGCGGAAAGAGAAGGAGGTAGTGGAGTAATCGCCTTTTTTAAGGTTTTATCAGTTTTCAGTATATAAAATCAGATATTTGATGGGGAACACTTTCCTAGAGTCAGTTGCATTAAAAATAGACTTAATTCATTTATTAGTCCTGATAGTCCCACAAATGTGCTGTGTTCATTTTTACTATGTCACAATATATTTATGTTCAAGGTTATTTGGTTGTGACGTTCAAAAAGGAAAAACTAGACAGAAGAACTATTCTGGACAGAAACGTTTGCCATTTTCAGTCATACTGTGGACTCTAGCGCTACGTATCTGTCAATCTCTTTCGTTGATTCACGTGCATCTTGTGCATAAACATTTAGTAGCTAACAATGAGCTGAACCAGTCTTTCAGTCCTGAGCAGTGAGATCCATACCCTGCACTGTGTCCTGGTGTTCTCCTCTGAAGATGATTTATCTCCTTAGATCCACAATCTGGAGGAGCAGCTGGAGCAGTTCAGAGAGGAGCTGGAGAACAAGAGCGAGGAGGTGCAGCAGCTTCACATGCAGCTGGAGATCCAGAGGAAGGAGATAAGCAGCCAGCAGCAGTACCTGGAAACAAGGGAGAGCATGCTCCAGGTAAACGGGCACCCAGCCCCCATACATCATCGAACAATGTTTTTACATCTGAGCTTATGCAAACTTTTAAGACGAAGCACTGCTTACTGGTGACATCATAAAAGGTTTATCACTGACGAGTGTGACGTGTGTGGCATCAGTAGATAAGCTTATATGTAACGTTTAGCTCACAGCTGTTAATAGTTCCAAAAATCCTTTTTATGCTTTTATTAGAACAATATTCACAATCTCTAAATAAAACCAATATTTCTGCTCACTAAACTTTTTTCTTTTATATAAACTTTTTAAATACTTGCTCTCTGTTGCTTATATAATTTTGCACATTTTTAGGCTTTTCCATCACCTCTTATTTTGCTGTGCAGAGCTCACTTATTCTTCTTTTCTTAGTCAGTAAATTTTCATCAATCCTCCAAAAACACTTTTTTTTCCTAATAGCCATCACATTATAATCTCTGACTTTTAAAGGTGATGGAGGAGAAGGACAATGAAATAGCACTTCTTAATGAACAGATCACTAAGCTTCAACACATGGAAACAACCTCTGACAACAAGGTAATGCAAAATGCGTACTTGAAATAGAAACGGAGTCTATTTCAAGTACGCATACCTCCGTGGAAGTGCATCGGTGTGTTTGGTCTCTTCTCCCCCCTCTGTCTACTTTTATTTTAGTTGGCTCCATTTTGCTATGTTTTTTGTGTGTGTTTGCTTGTTTTGTCCCAGTAAGTAGTTCCACTCCACCATCATTTGTTGTGAGGTGGTCATTTGCTCGTGTGAGGTGGCTTTTTAAACCTCCGAGTCTCTGTTAAGTGCCTACAATCTGATCAAGGCCCGAAAATCAAAATGGCAATGAAAACTTGAAGTAGCTCTAAGCACACCAGGGGCTCAGATGTTTAATGAAATAGCGGCATAGCCATGGGATCCTCAAATCTATGTATTTATTTGTTAATGGGGTCATAACGTCTGGATTTTACTCTTTAGGAAATGGATGAGAGGGATGAGCTGATAAAAGACTTGGAGTCTCAGGTGGAGTGCCTTCGGAGTGAACAAGAGCGTCTGAAGAGGAAGAACGAGGAGGAGCTCGACCAACTGAATGAGGTCATAGAAAAACTTCAGCAGGAACTGGCCAATATCGAGCAAAAGCAGCCTACAGAGGAAGAGGAGGACACCAAGGCAGAGTCAGAGGGTGATGCTTGCGGGCCGAGTAAAGACGAGTATGATAAAATGAAGCAGAGAATGGACTTGGCCACAAAAGAGCTCGAGGCACTGAAAAAAGAGCACAGCAAGCTGCTGGAGACCTATCTTCGCTTGAAAGAGAGCGCAGAAGCCTTGGCTGAAACGGAAAACCTGGAGAGCTCAGAGGGCGAGCTCGAGGAAGCTCTCAGGGAGAAAACTGCAGGGCTGGTTGTCTTACAGGCTCAAGTACAAGCTCTGGAGGAGAGTGCATCATCCAGAGTGGAAGAGCTGGGCGTTCGAATTGAGGAGCTCGAAGGCTTGGTCAGTGAAAAAGACTCAGAGATAAGCCACTGTCGCTTCCTTCTGGAGCAGTCTCAAAGTCATGCAGAGGATCTCCAGAAGAAGATGTTGAACCTGGAGGAGCATCTAAGGGAAAAAGTGGCTGCAGCGTTGGTGAGCCAGGCCACTCTGGAGGCCTTCCAGCAGCAGTCAGTGGAAACGAGACAGGAGCAGGACCCACAGAAACCTCCAGAGCCACACGTTGAACCACAAAGCTATGAATTTGGTGATTTTGGCATCCCCCAAATGGATGTCAGCAGATTGGGTCAACAAACACAAGTGCCCACCGGGAAGGTGGTTCGTCTGACGCAGAAGCTTCGGGAGCTGGAGGTCGGACTAAGCGGGATGCAGAAAGACCAGGAGCTGCAGAAGCAGCTGCTTTCCAGCTCTGAGGAGGAGGTGCTCGAGTATGAAAGGAGGCTGACTGTGCTTGTAGATCTGCTCAGTCAGATGAAGGCAGGGACACACCAGAGGACATCGTTGGCTGTGGAGGTGAGTACCATATATCATCTGCTCTAATCTATGTAAATGTTTCGTTATATTAATAAATAAATGGAAAATGCCAGGCAGGATTTCTGAAGCCAGCTCTCTCAGCTTCCAAAATGTGTTTATCTGTACAGTTAAAGTTATCTGGAATAATTCCTAAATACAGAGTGATAAAGTCATTAGATATTACCGATATTTTATTCCAAAAGTTCAAATAGAGGCACAAAACAATCACAAAATTATGAATTTCTTTGTCCGTGAGTGAAAATCATACACCGTGAGCCCTAACTGCATAATGGATTCTGCATTATATGACTTCCCTGCACTGTAATTATTGATTAAAACAACAAAAATGCAAATGTAGTCCCTGTGATAAAGTCTCACATTGTGAATTGATCTAATAAGTCTGATGATTTGTGCCCTTTTTTTCACAGGCCTCCTCTGATGACCAGCAGAATGTGTCGCAGCTTCTTCAGCAGTTACAGGAGGTCAGAGATGAGACTTCAGCCACCAAAGAGCAGATGGAGAGCTACAAGGAGAGCTGCAGCAGACTTCAGGATGACCTCTGTGTATGTGCTTTTAAACGGCTTCTCTGGGTTAATTCATACTGAATGTCAAAGTGTTTTCTAGTGTGTGACAAAAGCTTTTCTCTCTAGGAAAAAACTGTAACGATAGAGAGGCTTCAGGAGCAGCTCCAAAAGGTAGTAGAAAGAATTTTGATCCTTTCATGTTTACATTTTCCACAGCATAAAACAGTAATTTACTAAGAAACAACCATGCTTAGAGAAAAATTCAGAACTTCAACCTCGTTCTTTTAGACATCAGTTGGTGAGAGCGAAGAGATGAAGGTGTCGGAGCTTAAACGCCAACTAACAGAGGCTCAAAGTGAGGCAGCGACCACCAAAGAAGAGCTGAACAGCTGCAAGGAGAGCTTGGAGAAACTGCAAGAGCTGCTGCAGGTACAGAGCTTAGAAATCATGCTTTGTTGTAGCTGCTGAGTTCAGGGAAAACTGCCCAAACTGCAGAATGATATTTCTTCATATCATAAAAACATATTATCACAGTACACACTTTTCTAGCTTGTGCTGCTCCTATGTATGCATAAAGATCAGGTTTATACTGTGGGACATAAACCTATTTGATATTCACAAACACACAATAGCACTGATCTCATCAGTGCTATTGTGTGTGATTCAATGCAAATGTACAAACGAGAGCCACTTGGATATCTCTCTCTATATTTTTTACATTGATTAATCAAACAGGATATAGATTTTTAACTTATAGGTGTTTGGGTGGGTTGTGTGACCTTTAGACGGAGCTAAATTTGCTGTTTCTACCCTGTTTTCAGTCTTTCTGCAAAGCTAAGCTAAATAATTATTTTTTATTCAGGAGCGGGAAATGACCATTGCTCACCTCAAGGGAGAACTTTTCCAAGTAAGGCGGAAACGTTTTGTCTCAGTTGTAATGTCCAGTATTATCAGCATCAGCATAAATCTATAGTGTTTGAACACCTGTCCAATCATCTTCCAGGTAAAAGCAGACGAAGACAGAGACAGGTTGTCAGAGCTCACCCAGGAGCTCGAGAAGGTCAAAAACAATGCGGCTTCCACCAAAGAAGAACTCAAGAGTTACATGGAGCATAATGAGAAACTTCAAGAGGAACTTCAGGTGAGTGAAGGTTCTGTTTCTAAACTCAAGGAGGAGCTTCAGGAGGTGAGAAAGAGCATGGATACCACCAAAGAAGAACTCAACAGTTACATGGAGCATAATGAGAAACTTCAAGAGGAACTTCAAGTGAGTGA